TTTCTTTCAGTTTATTTATATGATGGATTACATTGATAGATTTGCGTATGTTGAACCAGCCCTGCATCTCTGGGATGAAGCCCACTTGATCATAATGGATAATTTTTCTAATGTATTCTTGGATTCGGTTTGCCAGTATTTTATTGAGTATTTTTGCGTAATGTTCATGAGTGAGATTGGTCTGTAATTCTCTTTCTTGGTCGTGTCTTTGTGTGGTTTTGGTATCAGGGTAACTGTAGCCTCATAAAAAGAGTTTGGCAATGATTCTTCTGTTTCTATATTGTGAAATACATTAAGGAGTATAGGTATTAGCTCTTCCTGGAAGTTCTGGTAGAATTCTGCATTGAAACCATCTGGTCCTGGGCTTTTTTTGGTAGGGAGATTTTTAATAACAGCTTCTAATTCTTCACGACTGACAGGTCTGTTTAGATTGTTCACCTGGTCTTGGTTCAACTTTGGTATATGGTACTTATCTAAAAAAAATGTCCATTTCTTGTACATTTTCCAGCTTTGTGGCATATAAACTTTCATAGTAAGATCTAATGATTCTCTGAATTTCCTCTGCGTCTGTGGTTATGTCCCCCTTTTCATTTCTGATCTTAGTAATTTGCATGTTCTCTCTCTGCCATTTGATTAATTTGGATAGGGGCTTGTCGATCTTGTTGATTTTCTCCAAGAACCAGCTTTTTGATTCATTGATTCTTTGGATTGTTTTCTCTGTTTCTATTTTGTTGATTTCAGCCCTCAGTTTGATTATTTCCAGTCTTCTACTCCTCCTGGGTGAATCAGCTTCTTTTTTTTTCTAGAGCTTTCAAGTGTGCTGTTAAGTCTCCAATGTTTTCTTTAATTGGGCACTTAGTGCTATGAACTTTCCTCTTAGCACTGCTTTCATAGTGTCCCATAGGTTTGAGCATGTTGTGTCTTTATTTTCATTAAATTCAAGGAAGACTTTAATTTCTTTCTTTATTTCTTCCTTGACCCAGGGGTGATTCAGTAGTTGACTGTTCAACTTCCATGAATTTGTTGGCTTCCTGGGGGTAGCACTGTTGTTGAATTCTAACTTTAATCCATGGTGGTCTGACAAGACACAGGTGGTTACTAATATTTTTTTGTATCTGTGCAAATTTGCTTTGTTATCCAGTATGTGGTCAATTTTCGAGAAGGTTCCATGAGCTGCAGAGAAGAAGGTATATTCGTTCCTATTTGGGTAGAACGTTCTATAGATGTCTGTTAAGTCCATTTGATTCAATACCTCCAATAATTCTCTTATTTCTCTGTTAGGTTTCTGTCTGATTGACCTGTCTATTGGTGAGAGAGGAGTGTTGAAGTCTCCTACTATTAGTGTGTGTGGTTTGATGACTGCCTTGAGTTCTAGAAGTGTTTCTTTTACATAAGTAGGAGGCTTTATATTAGGGGCGTAGATATTCAGGATTGAGACTTCCTCCTGATGAGTTGTTCCTGTTATGAGTATAAAATGTCCATCTCCATCTCTTCTGATTGATTTTAGTTTGAAGTCAATTTTGTTGGAAATTAGAATGGCCACACCTGCTTGTTTCTTAGGTCCGTTTGCTTGACAAACCATTTCCCAACCCTTTACTCTGAGTAGATGTCTGTGTTTGTGGTTGAGGTGTGTTTCTTGTAAACAGCAGAATGTTGGATCCTGTTTTCGTATCCAATCTCTTAGTCTGTGCCTTTTTATAGGTGAATTGAGTCCATTAATATTAAGTGATATTAATGACCAGTGGTTGTTGACTCCGATTATTATTATTTTTTGTTTATTTGTTTAGTAGAGTTTGTATGTGTCCCTTTTTTGAGTTAAGCTCGTGAAGGGTCACTAGATGTCTGAGTTATTGTAGGTAATGTTGGCAATGTTGGATTCCTTGGGTTGCGATTTTCCTTCTATTACTTTCAGTAAGGCTGGATTTGTGGCTACGAATTGTTTAAATTTGTTCTTATCTTGGAATATTTTGTTTTCTCCATTGATAGTGAACGATAGCTTGGCTGGGTATAGTAGTCTGGGTTTGCATCCATGCTCTCTTAGTTTCTGCAGTACCTCTATCCAGGACCTTCTGGCTTTCATGGTTTCCATAGAGAAGTCCGGTGTAAGTCTGATAGGTTTACCTTATAAGTTACTTGCCCTTTTTCCTTTGCAGCTCTTAATATTCTTTCTTTAATCTGTATGTTTTGTGTTTTGATTATTATATGGCGAGGGGATTTTTTTTTTGATCAAGTCTATTCGGTGTTCTGTATGCTTCTTGAACCTTCATAGGAATATCATTCTTTATGTTGGGAAAGTTTTCCTCTATAATTTTGTTGAATATATTTTCTGGTCCTTTGATCTGCAGTTCTTCTCCTTCTTTGATCCCTATTATTCTTAGATTTGGTTTTTTTATTGTGTCCCAGATTTCTTGAATGTTTTGTGATGAGAATTCATTGGATTTGCTGTTTTCTTTGATCAGAGCATTTATTTTCTCTATGGTATCTTCAGACTCTGAGATTCGTTCTTCCATCTCTTGTATCCTATTGGTTATGCTTGATTCTGTAGTCTCTGTTCGTTTACCTAGATTTTCCATATCCATCCGGCCCTCGTTTTGTGTTTTCTTCATTGACTCCATTTCAGTTTTCAATTCTTGAACTGTTTCCATTACCTGTTTGATTGTTTTTTCTTGGTTTCCCAGTGTATCATTCATGGATTTTTTCTCATTTCTTCGAACTTTTTGTTATATTTCTCATCCATTTCTTTACTCATTTCTTCAATCTTTTTGTTGTACTTCTTATCCAGTTCTTTAAGGGAGTTATTCATATCCTGTTTAAGGGACTCTATTGCTTTCATAATGGCATTTTTTCCCGCTTCTTCTGAATTAAGAGGTTCAAGACCTTCTATTGTAGGGTCATTGGTATCTGGTGTTTTCATGTTGTTTTTTAGATTGTTGGAGGAGTTCTTGCCTTGGTGTCTGCCCATCTCTTCCTTCAAATGTTCTCTATTGGATCTTCTGGTACCAGGTCAGGTTCCCTTGTTGGGCAGGACTTCACTGACAGAAGGTCTACCTTTCCTCAGGCAGCCTATTGAAACACAGGCACTCCCTCCTGCCGGGTTGCACTCACAGCCCAGGCCCAGCGTGCAAGGGAGCTGCTCTGGAGAGATCTTGTGGCCCCAGAGGGAAGGGGGGAAGAGAGGAAGGTGTGCCTGGATAAAGACTGGGACAGGATTCGGGAGAGCTCTGCAGGGAGGAGCCTCCTCTGCCTGGTGACCAGAAAGTCGAGGGGGGTGGGGAAAGTCTGAATTCCTCCTAGCCAAAGCCCTCGGGCCAGTAGCAAACTCACCCCTCCTCCAATGGATGACTGCTAGAAGATCACTGTCTCTTGCTGGCCAGGAGTGTGGCTGAGCTGAGACAGAGCTTACCTGTCCTCAGGCAGGCTCTCAAAGCAAAGGAACTGCCCCTGCCGGCCTGAGCCCACAGCCCAGGCCCAGCATGCAAGGGAGCAGCTCTGGGGAGATCTTGTGGCCCCAGAGGGGAGGGGGGAAGAGAGGAAGGTGTACCTGGATAAAGGCTAGGACAGGATTCGGGAGAGCTCCGCAGGGAGGGCCCGCCTCTGCCGGGTGACCAGAAAGTCGAGGGGGGCGGGGAAAGTCTGAATTCCTCCTAGCCAAAGCCCTTGGGACAGGAGCAAACTCACCCCTCCTCCAATGGATGTCTGCTAGAAGATCACTGTCTCTTGCTGGCCAGGAGTGTGGCTGAGCTGAGACAGAGCTTGCCTGTCCTCAGGCAGGCTCTCAAAGCAAAGGAAATGCCCCTGCTGGCCTCAGCCCACAGTCCAGGCCCAGCGTGCAAGGGAGCAGCTCTGGGGAGATCTTGTGGCCCCAGAGGGGAGGGGGGAAGAGAGCCTGGATATTGTTTTCATTAGCTGATCTTGTTTCTCATTCTCTCACCATCTCAGTAAATGGTATTTCTATTCATGTAGCTTTAAAAGTCAGTATCTTGATAATAATTCTTTATAAACATATTTTTATTTATTTATTGAGAATTTCACACACTTACACATGTATTTTGATCACACCCATCCTTCTTTGTAGATGCCAGTGAGTAAAACAAACTTATAGATGAAAACAAATGACCAATAAATACATGAGAAAGATTACTAGCAAGCATATTTTTAAGAAACTTGAATTTTGGAAATACAGTTTCTCCAAGAAACATTCTTAGTATGTATATATTTTAGTATGTATATATTCCAACAATATTTCAGGTATTAGGTAAGCCAGACTTTGGTCTTCTACTGTTTCTATCTTTATATTGACTTCTAAAGTGATTTGGACATTAAAAATCTTTATGTGATATTTTGGCATAATTTTATGGTTTCTCCTGACATTTTAGTTTAATCTACTTTTAGGCACTCAGAGATTTACATTTTCTACCCTCTGCCCTTATCATTCATGGATCCAGGAACATATCTCAGGCCTATCTTGTCTGGTCTATTCAGTTAGGAACAAAAGCTTGCAGGTCACACTTTATATATTAGGTCCATATTAATTTGAATATATTTGAATAATGTTTGATACTTTTAAATTATGACTTTCAAATTCATTAAAATACTAAATGAAATTATATACTATTTAGAATATTTTTTGGTAAAATTAAATGCAAATTATCTGGGAGAAGCCTTTCAGAAAATCCCTCTGGTTCTTTGATTATAGGAATATGCTACATACAATATCAAAATACTTATCAGTTCTGAGTCTGAAATGAGTGCCCCAGTTATTCAAATTGAAGAGTCAGCAAGGCAAAAATCTTAAGTGTGGAGCTTTGAAATCATGCTGTATTAGTTCCCAGTGCTCCCACAAGGAAGTCCCAAAATTGAGTTACAACAACAGAAATAAATTTTCTTGCATTACTGAAGGCTATAAATTCCAAATAAAGTTGGTGGCAGAGGTAGGCACTCTCTTGTGGTGGAGCCTTCTTCACTGCTTCTGTATTCTGACAGCGTTGGACATCTCCTACCTTGTGCTGCAAACTCCTCTTCTGTTCCCATCGTCTCTGTCTCTGTGTCTAAATATTCTCCTTCCTGTAAGATTAGAAATTTAATTTGATGACATATGCAGAGACATTTTATTTTTTTTTAAAAAAAGACTAGGTCTCCTCCCTATGTAGCTCTGGCTAGCCCTATAACCTGTTTGTAGACCAGGCTGGTTTCAACAATGATCTGGCTGCCTCTTTCTCTTAAGTGCTGGGATTAAAGGAGTACCTATCATGTCCCCACTCAACACCCTTTTATTAAACAAAGTCACATCCACAGGTACTAAGATTAGGATTTCAATTTCATTTGGGAATCACAGTTTAATAATAATAATATTAATTCAAGTGAGAAGTGCTAAGACATGTGAGATCACCAAGGAAAACAGTGAAATTCCAACCAAGCCTTAAACAGAGAGTAACAAGGTCTCCACCGGAAACATTTGTCAAAACATCTGTAGGTTTTAAGAAATCGTGTGAGATCATCAGAGGTATTTTCTCCCACAGTGGACAGAAACAGACGCAGAGATCCACAGTCAGAGACAGTCTTTGGAAACACACAGCTCTAAATGAGATGTCTCCATCAAATCTCTTCAGAGCCCAGGGAACCCCTCAGAAGAGGGAAGAATATATGTACCAGAAGGGATGGAGGACACCAGGAGAACAAGCCGCCACCCCCAGTCAACTGAGCAAGGCACATAGGAACATAAAGATATTGAAGTAGCAAGTACAGAGACCACACTGGTTTGCACCAGCTCACCTTCATTTATGTTCTAGCTTTCAGCTTAATATTTTCATGGGACTCCTGAGTGTGTGAGTGAGCATGTCTCTGACTCTTGTTCCTGCTATCGAGGCTCCTTTCCTTCTATTGGGTTACCTTGTCCAACCTCAATGTGATGGTTTTGATTTATCTTTTTATGTTTTAATTTTGTCATGTTTGGCTGTTATCTCTTAGAAGTTTGCTCTTTGCTAATGAGAGACAGAAAGGGAGTGAATCTGGAAGGAAGAGGAGGTGTGGAGGAACTGGGAAGAGTTGAGGAAGGAGAAAACTGTAATCAGGATATATTGAATGAGAAAAGAATATATTTTCTTTATTAAAAGGAAAATTAGCATGAGAAAGTACTTCACAAGCTTGTTATAATCTTAGGGAGAATCATTAATTGGTCGTGCATGCATGGTCATTCATGGCTATGAGCTCACTATTACTGGTAGAAACAAAGAATATACTAAAAGTTGATCTGTGTCTCCCTAGTTTGTAGATGGTTTATTCTAAAAGGTCTAGAAATCTTCTAGCCTTAGTTTTCAATTTATATTTGAAGGAATGAACAAGGGACTCATTCATACTGCTACTGTCTATCAACAAGGATTGTTTCATTTGCTTTCATATTGTCTTGAAGCAATAAAAAATTCTTGTGTTATATATAAGTAAAAGGTTTTATATCTATAAATGTGATAATATGTAGATATATAGTGATTATATATAATATGGTTTTATATATATGTATATAATGTGATAAAATTTCAACTTAGCACCTATGATATGTCTCTGTGAGGTTTCTATTTTCCAATTCAATACAAAATTTTACCAATAATTTTGCTATTTGAAAGTTTCCTAAATTGTATACAATATACTCTCCTCTCACCCTTTCTCATTTTCCTGAGGGTTTCCTCAGCCCTATCAAACCCCTCAATAAAACCAGTCCCATTTATTACCAGATGACTTTCTCCCCTTGAAGCATCCATTCCATGTGATCGTTCAGCAGAATCTGTAGAAACTGCTTTAAACACATTTTGTTTAACCTGACATATATTTAGGCTCAGTAGTCTTACATCTGTAAAACTTTGAATAAAACTACTTTCTAAAATAATTCGAAATAAAATGAAAAATACCTTACATTGTCTGAGACTGAAAACATGAATTATCTTTTGGTAGTATAAGGCTGTAGTCACTGAAGGTTAAAGGCAAAGGAATGGAGCTTCCATAGATAATAAATTCCAAATTTAGAGTCTCCTAAGGAGAGGCAGTTTCTTTTGAAGTCCTGTAGATATCCATTTATCATACATTCCTACACATATATATGTTAACTCTAATAATGAACAACTTGCCCATACTGAGTTATATATTATAATTTCTTTGTTAGTAGAAGGAAAAGAATCAAGTTGTAAGCTCAAAAAGATCATCTTTAACAATTAGTGGCTTTCTTGGAGTTAAATTGTTACTCATCTGGGAAAGAAATTCATTTTTCAACCTATTTTTTTTTAAAAAAACTAGACACCTCACATTTAGTCATTGCTTATGTGAATAAATCAAGCTTAAAACTGCTGGAAATATAACTTCCGGAACCTAGTAAGAAGAAGTGGCTGTGATGTCACAGACCCTTGAGGGAAACTTCTAAAGGAGATTTGTTCTAACAGAGACTAAACAGGAAAGATGATGAATGAGTAAGGTGGGATCCAACAAGAAGGTAGTAAAGAATGCCAATAATTTATAAATTATTTTTCCCTAAACTCCATAGAAGAACTCAATGAAGGAAGGCAAAGGCTTAACCACTGGGTACATTTATGATTCTTAATGATTAACTACTTGAAGGCTCATAAATTTGGATATCATCGGTCATAGAAATGGAGGAAAGTGATGAACCTGAACAGCCCATCTCACTAGGGAGGCAGGAATTTAGAAGGAGAAGACGGCCCAGTCAATCGATGGTAGACAAGTCCCAGCAGACGGATGCACCAGAGAAAAAGAAACCCACGACTGTAGCACAAGCTCCTGTCCCCAAAGCTACCCTCAGTATTGGTAATATTTCTGGAAGCAAAGACAACTACTCTGCAAAAGAATATGAGTCTCTTAGACTGTCTTCTCAACTTCAACAAACTTGGATGAAGAGAAAGCGTGGCATGGAAATGACTGATAAGTCTCTGCAGACAGAGGCTTCTGCGGAAGAGAAAGCAAAAGCCATGCTCACTGATAAAGCACGTACCCTTGAAGAAACCCCAGCTGGGGTTGAAGAAACAGCTCCTGAATTGCCACAGAGTGTTCCAGAAGTAGAGGTACCAACAAGCAGACCCATAGCTCGGTTAATAGACAGATCTCAGCAGACCAGCTGTACCGGTGACTGGAGTGTGTTGAACATTTGCCCCAAAGATACAGTGGACAAAGAACAACAGACATACTTCAGTGAGTTAGAAATTACTATCATGAATTTGCCAAGTGTTTCCCCGATTAAGCCAAAGGAGGCAACAATACCTGTTACACAAGAGGGCTCCAAGTTTGAAGTAGATGGTTCTCTTGAAATAGAGGTACTGTCAACAGAAAAAGTCCCTGATGCCATGAGGCCTTTCACTGCAGGGCAGTTTTCTGGTGAAATCGAGGCTCTAGCAACTGATGAGCTACCTTCTGAAGAAGGCCCTGGTGACATTAGCCATCTGTCAGTGCAAGGGGCCCTTTCATATGAGCCTTATGATCAAGAGTATCACCCAGGGGCTGAGGCGGATCATAAAGAACATCCTATTGAAATTGTGGTTCCATTCACAGACGTGTTTGTGAAAGTCCATACTGTAGCAGGCAAAGAAGAACCTGCTACTGCGGAAGAGTCCACTGACAGAGTTGAACCTCTACCATCTGAGGGGGCTTATAAAGAAGTTCAGCCACCATTAGATAAGCAAACATTAGAAGCAGTCTCTGCAGAAATTGCTGAGGCACTAGTTGAGGAATTTCCTATAGAAGATGTCTATGAAAAAGATCAGCTTCCATCAGCAGAGGATGCTCCTGAAGAAGTATCACCTGCAAGAGTTCTGTCTCCAACAGCTGAGGAGGCCCCTGCAAGAGTTCTGACTCCACCAGCTGAGGAGGCCCCTGCAAGAGTTCTGACTCCACCAGCTGAGGAGGCCCCTGCAGAAGCTCCACCTGCACCTGCTGAGGAGGCCCCTGCAGAAGCTCAAGCTCCACCAGCTGAGGAGAC